AGCGCAAGACATACCTGGTGCTGAAGCGTGCGACATTGGTCGCCATATGCTCGTACTTCGGGAACGCTGTTGATATCATCATTCTGCTTCGTAGTATAGGCTAGATAGGATCTGCCACATGTAGTCTGGGCGCCGGGCGCCAATAGGATATCAACTCTGGTTCTTCGCTGATGATGATGGGACTACTTCAGCATTGTCAATGATGAACTCTTGGTGTGTTCTTATTTGGTGTATCTCGTGATGCAATTCTGCGTTTGGTTCGAGGTCAAGACTATCTGGACTCATATGTATGATGCTGTTTGATTGTTGGAATTCGCTATCACTCATCTTCCTTGCATTATTGAAAAACGACAACAAGAACAACAACAAGATCTGATTATTGCGAGAAAAAAAAAACACAGAAGGTTGTGTTCAATGTTTATTTAATATTTATGTACTGGTTGCGGCACGATCATTGCGGCAATTTCATGCACTGGACTGAGGTTCCCTCTGGATTCCAACTCAGATCTATTGTCAACGTGCCACCTTCCCTTTTTCTTTTCTTTTTTTTCTTTTTTTTCCGGTGTTCCTTTCGGGGTTGCATACCTGCCGACCGCTGACCCCAACCTGTCCCAACCTGGACTGCCGACCGTTTTGCAGCCGACCAGTAGGCCCGACCGGTCGGCGGTCTGCCGACCAGTCAAGAAAACAGCCATCCACTGATTTTTTTTTCAAGTCTGAGTTGGGGGCTGTACTGTGCTTGCTGAGTACAGCCCAAATCCGCTGAGAATTTTTTGAGGATTGTGGGGGGGGGGTATTGAAAAGCATTCCACGATGCAGACCCCAAATTCGAATTTCAGGGTTAAAGTCTACGGCCACGAAGGCGCCGAAGGGTCAAGTCGGCCAGTTTCAGAAAGCTAAGTGGGGTGTTCAGGGGTCAAGTCCGAACAGGCACCCGGACAGCAGTCACATCCCAGAGTAAAAGTTGCATCCCATAAGCAAAAGTGACGTCTCATGTTAAAGGTCATATCCCGCAGGCAAAGGGCACTTCTCCACGTAAAGTCGCGTCCCAGGGGCAAGGGTCACATTCCACAGTCCAAGTCATTTTCCCACGGACGAGAAAAAGTTGTGACTCATAGTCCCAAGCAGCAGCACACCAAAGACATTCAGAAGCCTTGACATTCTGAAGCAAACAGGCCGCGAGCATTTGGTACCAGGTCCAAGTCAAGCCAAGGGAAGCAGAGGCTGGGACGAGCTGAGATTTGAAGGCAGATGCTCATTCGTGAGAAGTGCGGAAGTGCTGCTGGAGCGCTTGTGCGCTATCTGTGAGAAGCATGCAGGAGAACCCTGCTGAGCAGCGCTGTGCTGAGAGGGAAGGCGGCCATAGCCGCATAGCTGGTTGTAGAAAATAGAGCTGGTTAGTAGCAGATGTATTCAGAGTCAAGATTCTCAAGGGGAGAGAGAGAGAGAGAGAGAGAGAGAGAGAGAGAGAGAGAGAGAGAGAGAGAGAGAGAGA